AGAGTGCACATGAATGAGTAGGAAAGGAGTAGAGAGCGAGAGAGAGAGTATCCCAAGCAAGCTCCAAATTTAGCACAGAGCCCAGTGGGAGGCTTGATCTCACTACTGTGAGATCATGACCTGAGCCACAGTCAAGAGTTCGATGCTCAACCAACTGAGCCACCCAGGTGCCCCTATTATATTAAGTCTTTATAGAAAACGTTTGCTGACCCTTCTTCTACTGGGGAGACTGTGAAGGGTTAAGAGAAGTGATGTGGAGACTGCATTAGAGGGAGGAAGGCAAGAGACAGGAAGACCTTTTGGGATTTGGGGGAACAGGGACCCAGGTATGGATATGGGGCTTGCCCTCAAGAAGTTCATAGTTTAACTGAGGGGAAAAAGATGGTTTCCAAAGTTGACTTGTTCAGGAATGTACCTCCTCAGGGGCCCTTCTCAGCCATGCCTTACACATGAGAGCAAGACACAGAACGCACTTAGAGATATGCCTGGCGTATTGTGAGAGCTCCACCAGAATGTAAGCTCCCCGAGGGCAGGATTTAGATCTGTTTTGTTCACTGAAGCATCAGCAGTGGGTAGGACTCAGTAGCTCCTTCAGTAAATGTGGAACAAATACATCACTGCAACTCTCTGTAATTCTTTTTAACTATTTAATTTGTACTATGCAAATACAGGCAAAGAGCTGGATCTCTCACTCCAGTCTGTCAATTCATTTGACTGGTGTTAAACCAGCAGCTATCTTTACTGTTTGTTGCTGGAGATCGTCATGTGGTAAGAGGTGTTAAGTCACAGGCACTGACAACAAAGGAGAAAGAGGAAAAGAAAATAATGTCAATGGTCCTAAAGATAGCCGCTCAGAAATAATTCATTAGTTACTTCACAAATATTTGTTAATTTGCAACTGTGTCTGGAGGTCCGAGGGTGAGCAAAATAGACACGGTTGCTGCCCAAGACAGGCTATTGACATTGAAACTGGTAATCATAACTGTAAAGTGTGTGACTTACAGAAATGCAAATGCCTTGGAAACTTAAACAAGGACATTTCACCTAGTCTGGGACACTGGAGAGTGCTTCCCTGAGGAAGTGACGCATCCTGATTATTGGTTGCTGTGTGACAAAATACTTCTAAACTTAGTGACTTTAAACAGTTTATCGTCTCTCACAGTTCTGGGTTAACTAGGCTTAGCTGGATAGTTCTCACTTGGGATCTTGTATGAGTTGCAGTTAGATACCGACAGGCCGGAATCCTCTGCAAGCTTAACTGGGCTGTCATCCAAGATAGCTTCTCCACTCACATGCCTGGTGCCTCCCTGATGCAACATGTGACCTCTCTAGCAGATCACCTCATTTCCTAGGTATCAGCTTAGAGCTCCAAGAGATAGGAAGAGGAATCTGCTGGGCCAGGTAAGGTCTATACCTCAAAAGGGCACAGCATCGTTTCTGCCATACTCTTGATCAAAACGTCACAAGTCCTGCCCAGATTCAAGGGAGTGGAAGAATAAAGTCGATTCTTGAGGGGGTAGTAACAAGGTCTCATTGCAGAAAATCATATGGGACAGAATTTGTTGTGTCCATCTTTACGGAATACAGGTCTGTCACTTGATGTTAGGTTGAAGGATAACTTGGCATTAGGTAAGTGCAAAAGAGAGAAGGAGGGAATAACCGTCCAGCAATGAGAACAGCTTTGTCACTGGGCCTGGAGGTCAAAAAGGTAAACCTCTAAGGAGGGACTGAAAGGCCTGTGTGACTGAGTAGAGATAGAACAGGAAGGGTGGTATGAGAGTGCTGGGTCACACAGAGAAGAGTAGAAGTTTTTAGGGTATATTTGGAAGGGTAAATGCATATTTCCATGGGAAAGGAAAGGGAATAGCTGCATAAGTTCCAAACAGAGGCAATGGAAAACATTAAATAGTGAAAACCAGAATTCCTAGAATAGGAAGAACAGGTTAGCCTCGAGAAGGACTTGAGGTGGAGCAGGTGTGGGTCAGGGAAATCGTGTCCCAGACCTCATAGCTAATATGAGACAGTTGGGATCTGAACCCGGAGCTGACTCTAGGGCTCAGACCCTTCCCACTATATTGCTCACCACACTGCCTTTGGAAAGTCATTTAATAAACTTGAAAATCCCTTGCTAGTCAAAACGTAACTTACGCTTTCTAATTTCTTCCTAACCATCCAGGCAAATATCTTCTAACTTTTCTAGGTTCAACTCAAAGGGCACCTTCTTTTGAAGACTTTTCTAAGGCATACAGAAGTGTCCATGTGATTTCATAATGTCTCGGTCTCAGTGTCTCCTTCTGTGAAAGATTGGGGTTGGAAGGATGACTTCAAAGTTCCCTTCTTTGTCTGGCAGCCTACAGTTACAGGATGTGTGGCGTAGAAGTGTTCCACAAGCTAGCTGTGATGGCCATCGATGGTTCTCTGCTTCTAACCAGCCTATGAATAGCTAAACAGGTAGCACAAAGAGTGTATACCCAGACACTTTGATTTAAAAGAAAGAAGGAAAGAAAGAAAGAAAGAAAGAAAGAAAGAAAGAAAGAAAGAAAGAAAGAAAGAAAGAATCACTTTGAAGGTATTTACTCTCTCTTTCTAGTATGATTAAAGACTGAATTTTAAATACTGGCTATGAAAAGAGATGTGCAAAATATAATCTTAGTCAAATAACTGCTTTGCACTTTGGTGCATCTTTCATAAAATGAGAAACTTATGTTAAAAAAACAAAATTTGGCTGAGTAAACTTGAAGATCAATTTGGCTGTCTTCAACAATTCATGAATCTGGTGACATCCCATGTTGTACTTAGAAAGCTGTACAAAATGGAAAGCTTTTATAGGCAGAAGGGGTGGGAAAACTCAAGTTTCTAACAAAGAGTGGCTCGTTTCAAGCAAGGTCACCTTTCTTTAGGGGAAGGGCCAGGATCTTTTAGGGAGATAACCTCACCAGTGCTGATCTGGTCATTCCAGATTGACTGGTTAAAGGTTAAATTCCTGGAAGAGGCTGAAAGTGCAATGAGATGAGATATTAAGTCTTGATTTGCTGATGTGGGCCTCCACACAAGTGACTCCATTTGAGCCCTTTTTCAGTAAAATATTTATTTATTTTTTGGAGGAGTGCAAGCAGGGGAGGGGCAGAGAGCGAAGGGAACAGAGGATCTGACGCGGGTTCTGCACTACCAGGCTGACAGCAGCGAGCCGGTGTGGGGCTCAACCTCACGAACCACGAGATCATGACCTGAGCCCAAGTCGGATGCTCAACCGACTGAGCCACACTTAGCCTTCTTTAAAAAAATATACTTTATTATGCTCATCTGAAATTTTAGAAAAGAAAGAACTGAAAGTTTTAAAATTTATTATGTATTTCTTTTTCATAGCCTCTGGTATAGAAGATGAAACTGAAAAGTCCCGTTTTGCAAAATTACAGAAGTTGAGAAACCCTGTTGCACAATTCAACAGGCTTAAGGCTTAACTGTAAACACAAGGAAAGAAACCCTATGTGCAACTAGAAAAATATTATAACTGATATTTATCTCTGAAAGTCAATCAGTGCCTGGGTTAATGAGGGCTAACATAATAAGTATCAAAATATAAAATATAGACAAAGTCATAGTCATTATCATGTTACAGGGAGTTAACCACAGAGTTCCTGTGAACTGCAAACCTCTTGACACATTTTAAAATAAAAGGCTCTATATACTAGTTTAATTTACATACAGTAAGCAATGTAGATTGGTGCTGCTAACTTAAATATAATGGTTTAATGACCTAAGTGCTAAAACTGATTTTAATTAACCATAAAACTGTGCCATTTTAAACCCAAAAAAGCACATCTATGAACCTTTGCAGCAGCATGCAGAGGTATTGCTAATTGCCCAATTTTACCTACTTGTAAGTAGTTAAGGGCAAAAAGCCCTTGCGTAATTATTTTGTTTCTTTGTTCATTTTTTGGTACAAATACAACGGTGTATGTGACTATTGGGCACATGAGATGTGATAGTACGATTGAAAAACTTTATTTGATTTTTATTATGAATTGAAATGGAAATAGCCATAAATGGCTAATGTCTACCATATGGGACAGCGTCACTGTCAAGGTCTGTGCTAATTTGGCCTGACCTTGAAGATCCAGCCTTTCCCAGAGAATGAGTTAGTGCTCACATAGGATATTTTCTGCCCAGTCCTGAAGCTGGACCTGGACTCCTAAGCCATTCCTCGAAGCCTTAGGGAGTTGAGCCTAGAGCTTTTTCAAGATGAGTGAAGGAATTCTGTAGTCCAGAGGCATTCATTAGGTAATCCACACCTGGGAAGTACAGACGCAGTCACATTTGGGTTTAAGAAAAGGGCAGAGCCTCCCTCTGTCCTTACCCCTTGCGCTTTTTTAGAAAGTTCTTTTTTTTTTTTAATGTTTATTTATTTTTGAGAGAGAGAGAGAGGGAGGGGCAGAGAGAAAGGGGGACAGAGGATCCTAAGCAGACTCCATGCTGATAACAATGAGCCTGATACGGGGCTGAACTCATGAACCACAAGATTGTGATCTGAGCCCCAGTCAGATGCTCAACTGACTGAGCCACCCAGGCACTGCTTCCCCTTGCACTTTTTAGCCTGATACACCATCAATGCTTTCAAAGTTTGTGGAAAGACTTGTGCATTTATGACTTTAGACTGATCATGACATAGGATTCTTAGCCTCATTGCTTCTTATTTTAGGTCAGAATATCACGGAGATTTGCCAGAACAGTCTTCACAACTGTGCTCAAAGGCTTTTCTGTCAGAGTGAAAGCTATTGACCCTAATTCCCCTTATCAAGTGCTCCACCTGCCCTGTGTGGGTTCTGACACAAAGCCGGCAGTGATGTGTGCTCTTGACAGTGGAGCCTCTGTGGAGATGTCCACCTTTGGGCATGACTACCATGGAAGAGATGTAGAGATGGGGAAATAGCTGGGCAGAGTCGTGTACTATGGAATACAGTGAACCGTGTGCCAATGTTGTGCTCTTTCTTTTCTTCCAGGAAATTAAGGATTGCAAGGCCTTGCTTTGACAAGCACATCCTGTTGTCTTTACAGAGATCTCAATGAAGAATAATCTCAAAGGAACATTTGTCTCCCTATACCCCTGCTCATGGCCACGAGCTGCTAGCAAATGCTTTTAATGACAGAAAAACCATCATCTACCCTTGTTCTTAGCCTGGTTTAGGCAGTCGAATGAAGGTTTCCTTCAGTTGTCTCCAGAACTCTGTTGCTGAAGCACTTCTCTTTGTTGGGTGAATGTTCAGGAAGCCCTTTCCTGGGCCAGTTTAGGAGCCCTTAAGTCTCTCGGAGTCTATGACATGGAAGCTTTGGAAGTGGATGACATCAGCCCAGCCTTGGAAGTTACTGAGGATTTCTTCAGCACTTTTGATAGTAAGCTAGAAAAGGCTGTGCAGCAAGCTGAAGTGTATGGGATTCAGGAAGTCCCTGAATTGGTGGGGCACGAGGTACTAAGTACCATAACAGACAATGGTGCTATCAGAAGTGTTGCCTCCCTGGGCAAGGGGGGCTTGATCTGGGACCACTGTAAGAGCAGGCTCTTAGAAACCAAAGCTCAAAATGTCTTCCCTGCCAAAGAACAGTTTGTGGTTCAGAAAGGGACTACCCCAGATAATCTTTCCTGGATGGAACAAAAAGAAGCATCAACCTTTAACTTTTTCAACATCTGTCAGCGTCGGAGGGACAGACCTCGATCCGTGAATGACTTATTGGACGAGACCTCTACTTTCAAGCCAGGGCATGCGCGATCGAGGTCGGATATTACCCAAGTGGACTGGAGGCTGGTCCTCAAGACCATGCCTCTGCAGCGGCCGCAGTCGCCTCCTCAGGGCCCTCATTTCACCAGGCCGTCTTTTCTGTTGTCACTGCCAAACAAGGTGGAAGATGCTCAAGGAAATACTGGTATGTTTTGATATCTGACTGCTATTGAGCAATTGTTGATTTTCCTTGGTCTCTGTTACATTTACCTCATGAGAAGTGTACTGTCCAGTGTGCTCGTCTGGTTTTGCCTACCTAAGCTCCCTCTTCCATTTACTTGCACACTTTACCTCAAAGCCTCAGTCTTGGTATCCTCATGAGAAGTGCTGAGTGAAAAGGCAACTGTGGTCAAGTCTCCCTTTCTAATCTGTGTGTTAGAATCTGCATAGCCTCATAATTCACATGGTATTTGCCTCTGCATAGAGTATGATACTGCTTATTCACATCAGTAGGTGTTTGTCATATCATATGTTGGGCAGAGCCTTGTTCCATGAAGGGTTTAAAGATGTGTAAAAGACACCATCCCTGCCTTAAGGAACTTCTCGCTTGCTGAGGGGATCAGACACCAACAAACACTCAAGAAGTCACCAGCAGTGAGAGAAAGTAGTAGTCAACTGAAATATTTTGAGGGAGCTTTTGTTTTATTTTATATTGTTGAGATTTCTTTCACTGAGCAAATGACAGTACCTGTTAGAGGACAGAGGAAGGAGAAGACATTGTGTTGGGCTTGTCAGGAAGGGCTAATGAGAGTTCATGGAGCTTCGGCTGGACCATTGAGGATACTAAGATGCAGGAAGGGGGTCACAGTAGAGGACACTCGGTCAGGATTATGGTGGAAAAGAAGGTAAGGATATGAGAGGTACAAGGGGGAACAAAGGATCCCATGGTGGGTAGTAGGAGAGAAAGAGGGAAGAGATTGGTTCAGACCTCATGGGTAGGGCCCTGAATTTCTTTTTTTCTCATACTTCATTCACATGCACGTGCCCATGAATTCTGTGAGGTGTGACAAACCATCTTTTTGGTTCCCCCTGGAATTTTCCTTCAAGATAACCTCATTTATACAGGCTGTCTATTCTTGTCATTCCTGTTCAACCTTTAATTTAGATGGCTTCTTCTCAATTAATTGGGAAGACTATTTTATGTACTTAAATGGTATTTTAATGTTACTTCAATCTCTATCCTTGCTCAGTATTCCATTGATACATTTAATATTTTAATTAATAAATTTAGTTTCTAAGTATAACTTGAAGCAGAGATATAGTTTAGTAAGTCTATTCAGGAAAAGCAGTGTTCCTGTCTGTGAGGCGCTACATTATTTTCACATCCACTTCAAATCTGTTCTTTTGAAATACTTCTTTCTCGGACTGACTTATTTTGCTTAGCATAATTCTCTCTCCATCCACCCATATGTGGAATTTAAGAAACAAAATAAGTGAGCATAGGGAATAAGAAGAGAGAGGGAGGCAAACCAAGAAACACTCTTAACTATAGAGAACAAACTGATGATTACCAGAGAGGTGGGGGGTAGAGGGATGGGGGAAATAGGTGACGGGGGTTCAGGAGCGCACATTTGATAAGCGCTGGGTGTTGTATGGAGGTATTGAATCATTACATTGTACATCTGCAACTAATATTACACTGTATGTTCCTAACTGGAATTTAAATAAAAACTTAAATGAAGAAAAAGAAAATATTTTTTTCTTCCTACTCAAACTCATGACTTTATAATTCCTTTTCTTTTCTCCTAGACTTTCACCAGTCCTCTGTAGCATCTAGCCAAGGGTGGTGACCATGGGAGTAAAAAGACAAGGACATTATAAAGCACAGTACTTTGTAACTGATTAGATATTAGGGGACAAACAAATTGCTCTGACCCTGGTGCCTGGCGAAATGAGAGCTTTGCCTTGAGCTCATGTATAAACAAATATACTCGTTGATTAACAAATAAACTCTGTTGATTTTTGGGTTTTTAGAGTTCACATAGATTTTTATCAGTATTGCACCATAACCATTCTAAAACTGTGGTATAACCCAAGTCAAGAGGGTGTCATATTTCCAGGTTTAGTTTTTCTATCTTATTTGGATTATAAATGCAAGAGCCGGAGCTTCCTTAGCTTCTCCAAAGGAACCTTGAGTATATGACAGCCTATGACTATTATTTTTTCATTTTCAATTTTTTAAAAAAGTTGAATACTAAATTATGTTGAAATGTATGTACTGAATAATATTTTGAAAAGTATACTGCAACAGATGGCCTTTGCAGGTATCGATATAGTATATAATATGGCCACCTTTTGATCATCCATGGGATATATATCCTAGCAGGAATTAGCAAAGTTGGGCAAATGGGATGCCAAGCTCCTAATACCTTTTCTTTCTGGCACACTCTGGAGAACAGGCAAGAGAAATCAAGCTTGTATTGCTTACCAGGTGAAGGGCAGGGACAAGCAGTGAGTACCCATTGACTACCGGTTCTCAGGCTGGGGGTAGAGAAGAGTTCTACATATGTGGTCGGTCCCCCACTCTGGTGACCATAATTCTCATGGCAGGGGGAGGGATGTGCCAACACACAAATGCACATTAGTCACAATCAGCCAAGATCTTTCAGTAAAGTTTACTTAAAAACCTTGGAAATAAGTCATCTAAACTGAAGAATAGCTTATTGCTTCTCCTGGAGAAATATGCCCCCAAAGCAGAGGGAGACAGTGTAGTATCTTGGCTAGAGATACAGGGTCAAGCCAGACCTCTCTTTTAACCTTAGACTTGCGTACCTGACTGCCTGGTGTACACCTCTGTTGGAATGTTCCACAGGCTCTTCAAATTTGCAGTGTCCAAAAGTCACCCTTCATCCTCTCGTCTCCGGCTCCTACTGTTCTAAAAATTAACAAGTGTTCATAAGAGCCTGGGGCCCCTTAGAAGAAATAAAATTTAGTCAAATGGGTTTCTTTTGATGAGGTCAACTTGATGTTGTGTCTATCCCTGTCGCTCTCTTAATTATAGGTTTGGTTACTGCATGATCCTGTGTTTTCTTCAGTTGATTCTCCCCGCCCCTCCCCCCCCAGCTCTTTTTCTGAGCTCCCCTTGAGTATGAAGACTCACTAGAAGTGGTTCTTCTTCTCCTCTCCTCCCCTTCCTCCTCTTCTGCCTCCCTCATCCCCTCTCTTTCCTCCCATGAAAATAAACCCAAGGATCTTCTTCATTAGGTAGGATCTCTGTGAAGTCTGCCTCATTTGGTGATGAATAACCAGGCCTCTTATTCTTAGCCTTACTAAGAATAAATGCCACTTTGAGTATAAAGCAAATCAGGCTCTGGCCTAATGAGGGCAGTGGGCGGCTGGGTGTCATACCGCCTATGTCACTGATGGGCAAGCCTGTATGAAGGTCTCTGGTGTGTCTTCTCCTCCTTCCTCCCCTTCTCCTCCTCCTCCTCCTCCCCTCCCCCACTTCTTCCCCTCCTCCTCCCCCTCTCTTCCTTCTTTTCTTTTTCCTCTTCCTTCTCTTCCTTCTTCCACTTCTTCCTCTTTTTCCTCCTCCTCCCCCACTCCTCCTCCATGACCACAACCGCCACACAGCTTGTGATAGTAATAGTATTTTAAATATCTTGTGTGCATTAGATGGGTTAAAAAATAGAAAATGCTTCTTAGAACCATGTTTGGCACATTAGTAAACACCTAACAGAAATCTTAAACATTTGATAATATTGTCACAGTTATTAACTGAATTTGAAACTCATCAGTGAGAATCAAAGTAACATGACCAATGACTCCTACTTTTTCCTGGTGTGGGTCTCTTTTATAAAATGGCCTCACAATAAATATTTCTTAAATTGGCCTTCCTGATGTTTTCGCATAGTATTGATGGGATTGTTAGTGGGAAGTAAACCATTCATTCCCTCTCTCATACTGATTTGAGATCAGCTGTTTACTGTCTTCTCCTGGTCCCTGAGGAAGGGACTGTTTCTTACTCACTGTTACATCCTCAGTACTTAACATGGTACTTTGAACATAGTCTATGCTCAAATAAATTGTTTAAGATGTGAATTGAATGAAATAGATGTGATTCCGATAAGATAATTAACACCAATAACCTCTTTTGCCAGTTCATGTCTTTCTAGAAAAAAACCCCTCCAGCATCTTTTCTGAGGGCTTCACACCACCATCTAGCATTTCATACCTTGCACGTCCTCTCTCTGAAGCTCTTTAGCAGCAGTGAAAAATGAAGATTTGCTTTCATCTCAAAGGCTGCCCTGCACTATCCTTGTGATAAGAGAAAATCAAACAGATGCAGCATATAAAGTGGCCCCTGGCATTGGCAGACTGTTGCCCTGGCCGTGGAGGAGTATTCACATGTGTCTCGGACTCCCGGGATGCACGGGCGTGGTTAGCATCCCCTTTGCCGAGGAGCCTGACTGCTGCTTGCTGAGCACACAGCCCGGTGCGGTGCTGATACTTTGCCCTGTAGTCTTTCTGAAGCTGGCAGTCATGTGAAGTAATTTTGCATCACTCCTCAAAGTTTCCCTGTTCCCTGAGTGTTTCTTTACGGAAGATGATTACTTTGGATTTGCAGATCACTTCTTCCCTAGGTTCTTACTTGGGATATATAGAGCAGAGTCCATCAAACAGATTAACAGGTTACTTGTCACTGTCAGAGCCAGCATCCAAGCACCCAGTGTGCTCGTCTTCAGGGTGAGAGAGCCCAGGTAGAAAGGGAAGAAAAAAAAAAAGCTGTCACAAGCACTGTGCACAATTTTAACTTCTTTACAGAGAATGGCTTATTTAACTCATATAATACTCCTGTGATATAGACACTTTTACTGACCCCATTTTGAGGATGATGAAACTTGAGGAGATACAGAAAGCCCAAGGAATATGCTTAGAGTCCCATAGCTGGTGCTGAGTATCCTTGATTTGAACTCCGTCTTTCTCCAGAGTCCACACTCTTAAACAAGTTGGAGCTGAACCCTTACCTTGGAAGCCAATAGTTCTCAGTCTCTATAACCCTGTTTTGAAAGCCTTATCAGCAGTCAGGCCCAGTGGGTGTAGAGGCTGGGAAGTATGTAGAAGAGACAAACCTGGATGATATTCATCGAACCAAAATTAATCCCTCAGGAGATCACTAGTGAGGAAAAATGGAGACACACCAAA